CACAACTCACAACTTTCGAACGAACTTTGTTCCCTTATTTAAAGCTGAGATAATGTATCATCTCATTGGAAGCCGCAATGAAACGCGTTGTTCGGACGATCGCCTGTGGACTGAATCCGGCCAGCTTGGCTTTGCTTACGCCAGAGAGCGCAAAACGACAGTAGACGAAGGCTGCTGTCTTCGAGCCTCGTCCATGCACATTCCATCGTTGTCCTTTCCGTATTTGGGCTGTTCAAACTTGGAAATACACTGAAGACGAAGCCTTTTCGGTCCCGTTCTCCTGTGCCCCTTTTCAGATCCCTCTTGGCAATGGCTTTCTCGCCCGTATCGGACATTTGAAAACATCGAACAGGCGGCGCATACGCCATTTGCCTTGGGAAGAATTCCAATGCACAGCGAAACCCCTTCAAGTATACGGTGTATCATGCTTGCAGGTGGTCTCCGGCTGAGGGGGATTCTCCGAATGTAGAGCACGTCAAAGGCAGGTGTGACCTTTCAACGAAACGTACTTACACATCACTGGCTTCATAACATTCGTGAGTCTAGCTAACTACATGGCCAAGCAGTCTATAAATTATTTCCGCGCCAACCAGAGCGAAAGTGAGAGCAATGTGCTACATTGAGATTCCTCAGGTTTGCAATGTCGATCACGGGTTGTCCAGGCCACCGAAAAGAAGCCTTTGTCGAACCGAAGAGCCACCGCAACAAGTAAGCAAATGAAATGATCCGCTGTCTTGATTGTATTCTGCCGAGGATACTTCAGAGGGGCGAGAGACAGAAAACGACCACGAGGGTGCATAGTCTCTGCCAAAGCTCATTTATCAAGTCACGGCCGTCAAGGCATGGTATCTCAACCAACCGCAGTAAAACGTCGCTCCGCATAATCATTCTGGGTACACTACAAAGCGCTTGCCCGATTGAGTGGCTTCATCTATTCTCAGTAGCTTGGCAATAAATTCATACTCAGGAGCTAGATTGATCTTGCAATTGGGTTTCTCAGCATTATTTCGTACAAGTGAGCTAGGTTTAAGACGATGCACAGTAATGATTTTGATGTCCCGTTGTTTCTGCGTCCTTCGAATTCCCCGCCGCCAATATCAGTCATCATTGCTATTGAGGCCATGTCATCTTCCTCCCAAACTCAACTGTGCGAGTGAAGGATGGTGGTGAGATATCTCGGACTGCCTAATTCGGAAAGTGGCGCAGTTTCGTGTTAGTGTTGGATTCTTCGGACTTTTGCGGCTGTTAGATGTTAAATGAGAGGCGCAGTCAGGGATGACCGGTTGTTCTATATTTCACCGTCGCAATTGCTTATTTGTGAGACTGACGTCATTTGCGATTGTCTGATCGTTTCACAGCCCCTTGAGCTGGGTTAGCCGCCAAGATGAGCCACGCTTGGAGGAATCCCGCGTGACCAGTATGCTGACTCTGTGCTCCAGTTCATAAATAGCGACCCGCCCAATATTACGATGCGGCTACCTCAAGCATCCGACTCTTCGACAACAACACTTGACGTCGAGCACACAATATTTCGAATTCCGCCAAAATGGACAGTCTCAAAGGCAAGGGCCGTCTGAGCGACAACCCACCTCCCTATTCCCAAGACAAAGAGGAAATCCCGACATATCAAGCACCCAGCACTGGCTTCGAAAACCCGCCTTCCGACTCGAAACCGCCTCTGAATTCGCTGGCGAAGTTTCCCCCATCTTTTCAATGTTACCTTGACAGGCAGGAAGGTTTCTACTACCTCGGCCCCATGTCATCAGAAGAACGCCTCTTCGCATTCTCCGCTAGCGCAAGACTCCAAACCACCGTGCAACCCCTCCATCTCCACAACGGACCGAGCGAAAGAGACCCCATCATCGTCAGGATGACCCAGAAGAATCCCCGCTCGGTCAGCTTTGTAGCTACAATCACCCTCCACGATCCGTCAGACCCCCACACCGTCGTCGAGGAGATTTCCTACGAAAAGCCAGTGAACTCGCGGTCCAGCTCGGTGTTTGCCTCATGTCTTGCCTTCCGGATCAAGGTTGGCAAGGAGGGCAGAGAAGAGGAGTTCCAGTGGAGGCGCTCGAGTGGGAATGAGGTCAAGGAGCTTGCGCGGCATGCGATCGGGGGCAAGTTGGTGAGGATGTCCGGGCCCAGGGCTGGTGCTGGAGGCAGCAGAAAGGCGCGTGAGCAGGGCTTCTCTGGCGACGGGAATGAAGTTGTTGCCGTCTTGGCACCGAGGTCGAATATCGGGATCGCGAACGGACTGAAGTTCAAGTTTATGGGGACAGGATTGACGGGGGATTTGGGAGAGAAGTGGGAGAGCGTGGCTGTCATCACGGGGTTCTGGTTGTTCGGAATTTCTCGCGCACGCGAGAAGGATAGCGTGTGATATGGATAGTCTCTTTTAGATTCACAGATACCCAATTTGCATGATCTGAATATAGCGCGTCCATTTATGACAAGTGTTTGAGGTTCACTGTTCAGGGAGCATCACCACATACCCGGTTGATGCGCCGGAACGGAGATGGTCCACTTTGGTCCGAAGAGGGCGGGGGCCGCCGTTGGCTCCGGCGTGAGTCACCCGTTTATGCAGGCTGGGTTTCACGGCAAATTTGAGCCGCAATCGTGCAGAGTCTAGTGCGTATTTGGAAGGTTGCCTGGATTCGTTATGTTATAGTCGCTGTTCAGTTTCCAAACCTTCTCCCGTTCATTCTGACGACACAGAAGCAATCAGCGGTTGTATTCTTTTGCTATACAGTCTGAATCGACTCTCAAACGTGCTCGTAGGCTGGATGGAGCCAAGTGAACGACCTGTAGCCGAGCCCACCTTGGCAAAGGACGTACCAGTGAGTTTCCCCAAACTTCGTGTAATCGCGCATACCTTCATCATAAACTTCAGTGACTGAGACACGCCAGAGTAAACCGAAGCTATGCAAGGTATTCGTTAAAAAGTTTCACCCTCAAAAAGACCCTCGGGCTCTTCAGCATTGGGAGCGGGAAGTAGGGGCTCTCAGACACGTGGGCGCCCACGTAAGTTCTCTGAAATCTCCTGATAGAATGAATTCCAGAGACCAGTGCTCATCATGTATGATAGGTCAACATCGTCCAAATTGCATACTCCGATGCGGTATCTCTCACGATAACTCTACGGTGGGCACCGGGTCATAGTCTCGACCACTTCATCAAGTCCGACACCAAACGATGCACACTCCCACGCGATGACGCAAGGGTGCTGTGGAAGCAGATTTCTAGTGCTCTCGCGTACACTCACTCGAGATCAATTATTCACGACGATGTCAAGCCGCACAACATCGTATGGGACGAGCAGCGCAAGTATGCAGTCCTCATCGACTTCGGCGCTGCACTAGTCAATCCTGAGAGCTTACCGGAGGGCGACTGGACGCCTTCCGGCACCCCGCCATACGCGCCGCCAGAGTTCTTCGAGAAGAAGAAGTGCCAGGCTGGCGACGTGTGGGCGTTGGGCGTGACGATGCTGTTTGCGTTCGGGGATATTCCTCTGCCTGACGGTTCATGGATTTTGCCGCGTGTTTTTGAGAACGAAGACGTCAAAGACGAGATGATGCAGTGGCTTTTGAGGATACAGAGTATGGTAAAGTCTTTGGATCATGCAGGCGACGGATCATTGCTGGCTCAAATGTTGCATTGGAGTCCAGAACAAAGGATCAGTAGTAACGATCTTGTACGACATCTTGAAGCTTGATTTTCATGGAATCAGCAAATGCCTTGATCTAATGGCCGGTGCCATGATACTAAGATCGGTCGTTCCCAAAGCACGCCCGTGTGGAAAGTATTCGATATTTGATACTTCATGTAAGCTCATCAGCTGTTTTGTGTGGTCGAGAACAGGAGTAACAAAAAAACACGACGATGGTGATACAACTCTTGGTTTTATCAGGTGAAACCGCTGCGCATATTCGTATTTTGAGTCCGTTGTACATGTATGTTGCTTTCTCGGTGTAGATAAGAGCTGGCTTGAAGTCCAGAGTGACAGTGAAGCGATGCGTTTCGATGCTATCCGTGACATTGCCATCGAAGCTAAACAAAGTTTAGTCGCCGATAGACCGACAGCGTTCCACCTGATAGTCCATGAATCAGTTTGTCGCGTGTTGTGGAAGTATCCGAGTGTGCGAGCTCATCGGGACGGTGCACAGCCTGTTTGTCAGGTGAAAAGGGCCGCTGGACTACTCCGTATATATATAAATCAAACTCATGCGAAACTCTAATAAGTGGTAATGTATACCTGCCCATAACTGATCAACGAGATTGTGAGCGACGGGACTTTGAATTGCATGGCGATCCGGGGTCGCCGGAGGAGGCGTTGAACTTTCGTTGCAATATCCCTTTTTGCAGTTTAAACATATCCGCAATCCTCTCTACCATGGGCTTTTTGATATATAATCTGCAAGAAACCCCAGACCTTAAGAAGCTATCTCGATAGTCACTACAATTATCCGCTACCAATCTTCTGAAGTTCTGCCTGAATACCAACGTCCCTTCGGTACTTGACAATCGACAACATGCTCCCCACCACTTTGAAGACCACCCTTCTGGCCGCCGTGGCCGTTGGAATAGTCAACGCCCAGAACCCAGGCGCGTCCTGCGCTAAGCTCGGCGACTACACATGCTCGGGCGTCAACTCGTTGGAGTGCAAGGTGGGATCTGAGGGCAAGTTGATTTGGAACCTGGAGGGCAACTGCCCAGCCAACCAGATTTGTTTTATCAACGGAGATGGCAACTTTGATTGCAAGAACCCCAAGGCGTAAGTACAATGATCTACATTGACATTACCAGATACTTGAAGCTGACTTGTAACATGCTAGATGAACAACTTCAACAAGTTGAGCACCGAAGTGCCGATCGCATGTTGGGAGAAACAAAAGGAGTTTAAGCGCAATTGCATCGAGTCAAGTTGGTTTATAGAGAATAGATAAATTTACACGTACGCCTCGCCTTACTGTGCATATTTCATGAATGTACAAATCGATATTTTACAGCTTGGATCTCATCTTCTCCTTTTCGGTCTCCGCAAGGAACCTCTTGGTCAACTGGCGAATAGCCAGGTCAAGCAACACATCCTCGCTTCCACCAGGAATCCGCGCGCCCGGGACTTCACGGTAGATCTCTGCATGTTACCATTAGCGTCATGCATTCGAAAGAAATTGATACTTGAACGTGGTGCCTTACTTTCTGCAATCTCTCCTTTTCCAGTGCGCGTGTACCCGTTGCCTCCAAACAGCAGGACAGCGCATCTCGCACATTCATCCAGTACGATTCCAGCATTGGCTTTGCACAAGGAGGTCAGGCCGCCAAGTTCCTCGTCTGCAGTCTTCTTGGGCATCTTTGACAGCTGATAGGCAAATGATTCGACCCAAGCAGACTGCGACTCGAGCAATGCTCCGCATTTCGCCAGGCGATGGCGCACGACTGGCTGGTCAATGAGTGGCTTTCCGGATGGCCTGTCAGTACGCTCCTTGAAGATGCTCGAGCGAAACGTTCCGTGGTCACTCACCTTCCCGAATGCTTCACGTTGAAGAACATACGCAAACGCCGAGCTCAGCGCCACTCTGGCCTGCCTTGTCACGCCCACCGAGATGAACATGCGTTCATGGTTGAAGTTGTGCATGATGTACTTCATGCCTTCGTTCTCGCGGCCGATAAGGTTCTCTCGCGGCACACGGACGTCGGACAGCTCGATGAACGAGGTACCCGCGATGATCTGCCCAGAGACCTTGAGACGTCTTCTGGAGACCCCGGGATGATCCAGGGGCACCACTAAGAGTGAAATTCCCTTGGCTCCTGAGCCTTCGCCGCCGGTTCGGACGGCCAAAGTTGCATAGTCCGCCATAACACCGTTGGTAATCCATTTCTTGGTTCCGTTCACGATGTATTCGTTACCTTGCAGCTCAGCGGCAGTGGTGATGTTTGCGACGTCTGATCCGGCGCTACAATAATTGAAAAAAGAGGTCAGATCCTTTTCATGACGGATAGTGTGTTTATGTCACGAAAGCCAACTTACTCTGGCTCAGTAATCGCAATACAAGTTCTCTTACGTCCAAGCAGAAGATCCGGAAGGAACCTTTCTTGCAACTTGCTATCGCCATAGTGCAGCAAAGGCGGAATCCCAAAAGCAACGCCAGTAGTAATAGACCCTCCGGGACCAGCCAGGCCGGATCGACTCATCTACACAATGACGCGGTTAGTCGTGCGCGGGAACTCAGTCTATGTAACGACACCGTCCATACCTCATCAGAGTAGATCATTGTATGTAAGTAATCCCATTCCTCGATTGGAACTTGCCCAGGCATGTGGGTAATACCCAGCTTTCGCAGCCACTCCACGGGCAAAGGCGCCGGCAGGGCCGGAAGAAGGAAGTTGCCATCGGCGAAAGTCTTGAATACGTTGGGTGGCACTTCCTCAGATGTTTCCCATTCAAGCGCATCTTTATTCAATTTTTCGTCGATGAACTTGCGACACGCGACTTGGAACCTCTTGTGTGAATTGTTGAAGTAGGGTGAGGGTAGGCCTCTAAGCCAGGGCGGATCTGCGAAGGGGACTCGAGACATGATTTGTTTGCGAATTCGCGGATGGCAACTACTGACAGCAAGAAGTGTCACGCCGACAGCTGCAGTTTTGTTCCGAGATAATGTCGTGTTTGGTCGAACAACAATGCGTAGGTAGGTACTAATCATGCAAGTTGAGTTGGCTCAACCACCTCGGCATGAGATGCGGGGCACTTCCACCCCGGCCAAGACCGAGGTTGGTAAGCCGGCCAATGCAACGACCCACTTTCCTAGTCCGTCACCGCTCCGGATCGGAGACAACCCCGGTCATCTTGATGGCAACCGGTGTAACAGCACTGCTCCACACATGGTAAATAGAGCATCTCGTGATCGACGTTTTTGAGATCTTGGAGAAAGTTAACGCATAGCACATAGCAAGTTCAAGCACAAAGACAGAGCACCGGTGCCATCCCGTAGTGATGGCTTTTGCTCTTTCTTTCTTTTTTTTTTTTTTTTTTTTTTTTTTTTGGNTTTTTTTTTTTTTTTTTTTTTTTTTTTTTTTTTTTTTTTTTTTGGCGCAGCCAGGACTTGGCATCGCAGAGGCACAACCCCTTCGAGCAGGCTGCATCGCATGGGCAAGGCTAGACCTGCCGCCCCACCAATTTTGTTGTCCTCGAGCGACGATAAAGGCTGGCAAAGATGGCATACACAACTTTCGTTGGCATAGACCACTTGCGGAAGCACCTTTAATCCAGCAGCTGCAGACTCATGTGGGGCGTCATAATGTTGACCAGTGCTCTCTAAGAATCAATTGCTGTAGTCGTCTGCAGGATGCATGTGCGAAACATGCGTACCTTAATCGCATCTTGATGCGTTGGCTCCAAACATAAACCTGTACAACCTCAGCGTTGGAATTCGGAGCACCGCCCCCGCGTCTTTGTCTGTCATAAGTAAAGCCTAAAGACTCCCCCCATGGCCTTTTCATTCTTTTCATTTTATCGACTCGTGTATACTTCAAGCACTTCACGTATCAGTTCAGTCGAAAGGAAAGATAAGCGAACCTTCCAGATATTGCTTGCAATATGACCTCAACCACGGATATTTATACCGAAAGCTCAAAAGACGCAATTGAGCTCTCAGATGTTTCGAGAGAACGCTCTCAAGATGGAAGCAAGATGGCTCATCTTGATGTTCAATCTGACCTGCCATTGCCTTCATTGGTAGAAAACAGAGTCATTCACGCTCCGGCGCTGAATAGCATAAGGAATGGTAAGCCTTGAAAAAAGCCTATTTGCAAGTGATTTCAATTTAGCTGAGTAAATTGCATTAATTCAGTAGGCGCCGTACGAGACCTCGAGACCTCGAATTTATAACCAACGACCGAGGCCCAGACCCGTTCATCTTATCAACGCAACGACCATCGCAAAAGTGGTTTTTTGAAGGACTTGAAAACTCGACCAAATTGCGCGAATCAATCGAGCCATTACTAACAGAAGACAATTCATGGAGCAAAGCAAAGCGGCGTCAAGACTTAGAATGGGGTGGGCGAGAGGAAGAATCAGTTCGTCAGAATAACTGGCTTACATCTCTTGTTGAGAAGTTGTCGGAAATCTATAATAATCAAAGAAGGGCGCGTCGCAACAAGTTCCTAAGCGACGGCTCGCCGAAGGCACTGCTAGCTGTGTTAGGAAGCTTTCTCATTATCTTGCCCATCATTCTTATACTATTTTCCGTTCTTAGTCCAGCAGCAGTATTGGTGTACGTATCAATCTCCATCGTCATGTTCGCGTTTTCGACATCGCTTCATTTCAGAACCTTGGGGGAGTCCCTGTGTGCTACGGCCGCATATGCCGCCGTACTTGTTGTGTTTTTGGGGACCAACTGAACACCGGACACTTATTTCTGGGCGCCTGTAGCTTGCTAGAATTTGGAAAGAATCAATCAAATAGCGGATAGTAGCACTAGTCGCTTACATCTTGAAAAACGACTCGTCTACTAATACTGGCGTGAAAGTAGCCGTAGGCGGAGCCCGAGGCTGACGCAAAAGTACCCTGACCATCGCCCAACAAATGCGCTTTGCTATAGTACTGTTATCCGTGAACAACACAGTGACAAAGACGATGGGCGAGACTCCCCACATAGCTCGATGAAAACATCATCACTGGCCCCCGTGACTGTGGTATGTTAGCTGGTGGATTTATTCATTATGTCAAAACTGTGTCGAGTCTACAGAACAAGGTCTGGATACATCATACAGGGTTATATGTAGAGGCCACAGGAGTGAGTAGTGATAAGTATAACGAGTGTATGTAGGTGTCTATGGAGGATTGACAAAGTCTACCACCGACGCAAACCCCGAAAGACTAGTAGTACAGTGCCATTGTCTTGGGAACATATTAGCATTTCCGAGAAGTCAACATCGGAAATGTCTTTCCAGACGACCTTTTGAAGTTTCCGCCGAGTGAGATATCGCTTCAGCCCAACGTAAGCATTCTCACTTCCAGTCTTCAACAAATCTCGCCAATGATAAACACAAATGATCCCATCTTGTAACCCAAAATAGCACTCCATCCCATCATCGGACCTCAAACCCTCAACCTCAAAACTCAAAACAAGCACACTCACGACCAAGAGTTTCGAAGAATGGACGAACTGGCCACCGACATCCATGCACGGCCATCTCATAAATCATCCCAATCTCACAAACTCAGATTTCCAGTCACAGGATCAAAAGAAAAATGAATAAAGTTTCGAAGACTACAAAAATTCGCCCATGACAGAGTCCACTCAACCCGTCACCTATCTCCAGTTAGACAGACCCTCATGAGTCTTCGGCCTTCGGCATATCCAAACGAACAACCGGCATGAACCAAACTAGCATTTCAATACCCGAACACTCCACCCACCGGCAACTGCCTCCTCGGAAGACGTCCGCGGGCGGCGGCTCCTTCTCCTCGGAGGCCGCTGACTCAACACCAACCCTCCCGCAAACGTCACCCCCGACTCGCGACACCACCACCGACGCAATCCAATCCCACTTTCATCCCATCTGCACGGCAAAAGAAAAAAAGAAGAGGACCACTCTAAATCTTTCTTTTGCGTCATCAACCGAACTCACAAACGCAAACCACGCCCGCGGGAATTCCGCGTCTGCGCTACGTCGGGGGCGGGCGGGTATCATACAAAACACCCTCAAATGCGCGATGCCCCCACTCACCCAACTTCATGGACTTCCCGCGCCCACTTACACGTACGCACCGAGTCGGCATCCAGAGCCTCCAACCAGTTCAAAACCAGCTCACGAGAAAATGCCAAGATTGCTAGAACATCACGACTCAAGCAGTGAACAAAAAACGACATCATTGTCATAACATACTCCCCAAAAGTCATCCCATCATCACCCACCCACGACCACCACTTCAAACCTCTTCCCCCACGGATACAAAGTCCGAACCAAAGAAATCATCCCCAAAATAAGAAGGGAACCATCTCAGAAGCCAGGTCCCATCTCACCACAATCGGCCGCCTCTGCACGGCAGCAACGCATGTCGGGGGCGGTCCCAGTCCAGCCCCCAAACGCCAACCGTTTGACACATGCCCCCGTCTTCTCCACCCGATCGTCAGAGCCAAGTCGCTGCTTTCGCCCTCTTCGCTGGGCCACTCGCCTCTCCCTCCCCTCACACAGACCACAGCATAAGCAATGACCAAATGATTCCAAACGCTCCGATCAAGCACGGCCGCGGTCTAGACACCTCGCTTTTCGCTGTGCGAGGTGGTTGAGTCAGCAGCAGCCCGACCAGGGTTTGACTCGGCCGGGATCACGCCCGGACGGTAACACCTCGGTGGGATTCCCCACCACGACCCTTATTCCGCGCCGACTCTTCCGCTCTTCACTCCCGGCCGTTCCCTCCCCTGTCACTTTAATGCCCTCTGTAACGTCATGCTCGCGAGGCATGCTCCCTGCGCATGACAAAGTCTGCCGACGTGTCAGCACCCAGCAAACCACAGACCAATCGCGTTCGGTCGAGATGGTTCCTGTCATCATCAGTTGACAGTCGTTCGCTGCGCCTACTAGTTCGTCAGACTAGAGGCCGAAGTTCCGTTCCTATCACACAGATCACACACGGCACACACGTCGACCAAAGATAAGCGCTTGCGTCGTCCAATGATGAGATAGACAAATATGTTCTTTTTGACATCACGTCTTATCACCCATCTCTGGCCGCACGTCCTTGCCCGCTAAATCGTACAAATGATACCGTTGGAGTAAACCATTCGCCATAGCTGAAAGTGATATATATGGGCTTTATATATGTGAAAGAACATTGCCTGCCATCCGGTTGACCCCATGACATGAAAGAAATAATAGACCGAGAGGCACTCGCCGGATGGCGGCAAAAAGATGTAAGATGATGCACATCGCTGGGTGGGGTTCTTCAATGCATTTCCAGCCAACGCCTTCCCGCTTGCAGTCCAGATCATTCAGCCGACTCTCCCCCTCTTGACGCGACACTCGCCTTCTCCATGTCGGAGAGCTCCCAGAAGCTTTAAAAATCGTCGTCTGACGTAAACTCCTCCTACATTTACAGAGCACAACATAACGTTGGGATCTTTCTGTTTTTTTGAGATTTTTTTCAAAGGCGGATTTTTGCGTTTAGAAGTGCTCCTTCCAGAAACGGAAGTTGACTTCTGCGACAGAGGCTTCGTTACAGGCCTTCTTGATATCGCGAGCTGGGAGGCTTATTAGTTAAGGTCATAAAAGGGACGTGAGAAACTTACCAGCCACTGAAGGACCGCAGAAGTAGACACCGACAGTTGTGCGCATGCTACCCTCCAGACCATTAAGGTAGGTTCTGTCCAGGATACCATCACGCATGGTGGCAAACAGCTTGGAGAAGTTGGGTCGACCAAAGTTCGTGCGAGACTTGAGTTCGGTAAGAGGGTCGTGTTCCGAACCGACAGAGTTGAGGATGATGTTTTGTGTGGTGTTCATATCCAACTTCTGGGTGAGGTACGTGTGGATCTTCAAGAACTCGAGGCCGTTGCTGCCAGGAAGACGAGCAGCCTCATCGGACTGAGACTCGAGAGACGAGAGCAGAGTCTGGAACCATTCGAAAGAACCGGTATCCTTGCAAACCCAGATGAACTCGACACGGCGAAGACGGGTCGGGGGGTNAAAGAACCGGTAT